TGACTGGCATGCAAGTTTCTTAAGATGATTTTAGAAAACCACCATAAAATTTTTATTACTTTTGATTAAAAATTCTGTCACTTGATCTTGCAATTATTCTTACAACAAATTTTTTAAATTATTAAACAGTGTTCCTATTATTTCATAATATTGTTCAGTTTCTCATACTTTGTTTCATTAAAGAGTAAGATTTTGTTTGAGCTATTTATCCTGGATTATCTGGCACATTGACTGGCATGCAAGTTTCCTAAGATGATTTTAGAAAACCACCATAAAATTTTTATTACTTTTGATTAAAAATTCTGTCACTTGATCTTGCAATTATTCTTACAACAAATTTTTTAAATTATTAAACAGTGTTCCTATTATTTCATATTACTGTTACTTATACGTGGTTTAAAATTTTATAATCAACGATATCGGTTTTATTTTAATTATTTTGAACAATTGTGACACTCTGGTCACTGATAATCGCAATGGTGATACCGTGAAAGCAATGGATGAGCAATATAGCAGTCAGTGTGCGAAATACAAATCTTTTTTATCTTTCCATGTGATTCATCGATGGCTCATTGTGGTCAGCGAGAGTTTTCGTTCCATGAATGAAAATATTATTATACTTGCATCGCACGTGATGATAAAAAGGGGGTCAAAATGCGAGAAAAATTCAAGCTAATCGACATTTTCCCCTAATTAGGCGCTCCGATGCAACTCGGGTCTCGAAATAACATTTCAATATCGACTCAATCCTCATTTTTCTCCGATTAAATAATTCCGACCTTGACATTCCGATGTAAATTTTTCACTTCGATTAACGTTTTTGTTAAAACACTTGCCTTTTTAGTTGTCACGTAGTCCATTGAGTCATATTAGCTCGTCACGAGCATTTTTCAGTCTGTCTGCCATTAACGATCTTAAAACTTGTTCATTTAAATTCTATTACCTGCACGGTCGTTCCGTTTTATCATAATGTATCAATCATATCGAATCCGTTTTTTTTTTTTTTTTTATTATGTAAGAGAAAAATGCTCATTGCAGCCGTATGCATAATTAATGGTAAATCCGGTTTTAAATGTCCCATCGGAAGTTCGATAAATGCACATGTAACTATGTTCCGTGTATTAGTATGTAACACGTTATTTCGTTTTTGCTTTTTTCCAATTGGTGTATACGAAGCGGATTATCCATTATTTCTTAACCCTCTATGGACCGAATATATATTTTTCTTGACTATAAGAATTGTATGTAACATAAAATCAACAAATATCAACCAATAAATTCAGCAGTTTTGACAATTTTATTATAACGAATTCATATTGAAAGTTTGAATTAACAACGTTTGTACTATTGTGCCAAGATAATGTGCAATAGATAGGCAAGCTAATTTTCCACGCCATCTTGTGGAAAAAAGGTCATAGGGGGCCATAGAGGACCTAACCTATCATGATCGAATAACCGGTAAATGAAAAATAATTCGAATTTTTAAAAATCGACCCACGAGAGGTATTGTAAAAATAATTATAAATATATCGAAAGAAAAATCGCGAACTGAAGTGACGAAGACGATAACGTTGAATGCAGTATTGAATAAAATACCCATACATTAGCATGTAACTTGAAAATTACACGGACCCATAGAGGGTTAAATGAAACGAAAAAGATTAAAGTTTTCGGTAACTTGTCTCGTTAAAGGCGAAATTACATTGACAAATTTCGATATCTTAACCCTTTGCACTCGGAGATATTTTCGTTATTTTTATTTCGATATTTATTTTGATATTTTTAAAACGGTGAATAGGAAATCGTGTGAAAATTAAGACGTAGAATTATTTTATTTCGAAATTCCACGCATTGTTGGGTAATTTTAAATTTGACATATCGATTAACATCGATTTTTAGAATCTGGTTAAATGGCGACCGAGAGTCGCCTCTCGACTGCAGAGGGTTAATAAATGACAATTTTTGCAAAATTTGAAGAGAAAGTGACCATTGAAACCGTCGAAATCTTAATAAAACGTGAATTTCGATAAGAAATTAATTAATATAGCGATGTAATTAGATATTTTTCCCTCGAGACGTACAGGTTGATAAGGTATCAGTATTATTAGACTGTTGATAAGTCTAGTATATAGCTTGTTTATTATTGTTATTAAAATTCAATTGTAACTTTCACATGGAATATTATATATTATATATCAATTTACACGTTTTAGAATTTAATTCGAGGAAAAGCACATTTGAGAGAATTTCTTCAAATATTTTGAAAATGTGTCGCCCATTAACACTTAGGTTATAGAACCATTCAAAATGGCTAGTTTCGGATATTTTATTTTATTCACTGCCTTCAGAAAAATGAATATTGGCAAAATTAATATTTGTTTGTTTAAAGACACGATAATACTCACCTAATTTATTCCCACTTTAAATATTATTATTCGTGTACACTATGCGTACTGTATTTGTACGTTTAAAGGCTACAGAACCATTCAAAATGGCAAGTTTCGGATATTTTATTCCTTCAATTATTAAGAACAATATATATAATTTACAATAAAAACAATTAAGAACAATTAAGAACAATAATAATTCACTGCTTTCAGAAAAATGAATATTGGCAAAATTAATATTTGTTTGTTTAAAGACACGATAATACTCGCCTAAGTTATTCCCACTATAAATATTATTATTCGTGTACACTATGTGTAATATATTTAGGTGTGCATTACAGAGTATCGTTTGTATCGTTAATTTTTATCAGCCCGTTCCCTTTTAATCTCGACTTTTCTCCTGCATACCGACATACTTTATTCAACCGAAATTTAATAATTTAGGCATCTGAAAATGGCCTGTAGGTACACGTCGACTCTACAGTCATCGTTTAAATTAGGGCGCTATGCACGTGTCTGCATCCGCCGAACATTCGGCTACGATATCGTCAGGTGTCACATTTACTCCCTTTTTCATATAACATTATCCTACTCTATTTTTCCGACGTTCAATACCACCAATTTATAGTCAAAGTTTTCACCGTCTGTCTTGTACCGATCAATCCGTGCACACTCGACTGAGATAATCGATCCAAGCGGAAATAGAATAAAAATAAGAAAGGAAGGAAGGAATTTTCCAAAACAATTATCCTAGACGATCGATTTTACGTCTGTTGGAGGCTAGGATTTTCATTGAAACGCGAAGCATTTCTCCGCGAGAACCAGGTCGATCCGTTTCGATCGTGTGCCGTGCACAAGGAACGTCTATGGAAGATTGCGAGAAAAGCAGCGTGTTACGAAACACGATTCGGGCATTAAAACGCGCGAAGAGCTATTAACAGGAGCTCGCACTCGTTCAATGAGAGCTAAGATTAGCGTGTGGCTAGTGGTTTAGCTTCGTTTAGTTCCGTTTGGCAACGTTTCTCTTAACACCGCGAGAAGACACTCCACTTAGGCAACCACGCGTTATATTTATTAATACCAAAACGGGAAACATCGTCTCTTAATTTCTATCAATCTATCTATCAATAGTGTTAGCACTCTATGACGTTCCAGGATTAAAATATTTCCAAATATTTCCAAATATTTCAAAATATTCCAATTTCTAGTCTTCCATGCGGTGTCTAGCTATATACGTTCACTGCGCAAATCGATTGACTCCACTTTTTGAAAAATCTAAAATATAAGTGTCAAAGAACTTGGTACAGTCATAACTTTGTATATTTCAGATTTTTCAGAAAGTGGAGTCAATCAATTTCTGCAGTGAATGAATATTTCGTGTGCATGCATTTATGGAACAAGTGTCTTTTAACCTAGACTGGGCAGAATTTTGGTATAGAAATGTGATTAACACGTGGATAGTACGCTGATGTATAGCGAATTAAAGATTTGAAAGGAAAAGAATGTTAGTTTAGTTCAGATTGTCCAACTGCATCGATCTGATCGACCTTTATCGACGATGCACAGGAGCAACGTGGGTACCGTTTGCCATCCATCCGTTCTATGGAACACAGCTACGAGACGCGAACAGTTACTTCATTCAGCCGATGTTTATTTATAGAGTGTCCCCGGAAGCATGATATTCCACGTTTGTAACGATGTAATAGTTCCTAGAGCTTGCGAAGCTTCCCTCGATTTGCTCACTCGAGTCGCCAAGCCCGATCAAATTTAATGGCCGACGTCTCTCTGGATCATATTGCTGACGGTTAACATTATGCACGGCCAGCAGTCAGCCACGAGAATAGGTATACTTGCTATGAAAAATACAATAACAGACGTTGTTACGATGGCTGCGCGATGCAGTCTGGCACACGAACGCGTGTCGAATCAGGCAGCCTAGCGCGAAACCGCGTACCAGACAGGTCTTCATATCTGCGAGCCTTGAAAGGGGCGAGTGTCACGAGCGCGACCGGGTCGAATAATAGCCTCTTTGTCGTAATTGCGCAACGAGATCGCCACCAGCCGTGCTCCCAGCTAATCCTCCTTTTTCCCTGTGTTTTAGCGAAAAACGTGGAAATACCGATCGCCAAGGTCATTAGCGAGAGCAAGAAGGATGTCGCGAAGATCGAAGAACCAGAGGAGAAGAACGAGAGCGTCTCCTCGAAAGCCTCTAGTCCGTGTATATCCGAGAAATCTAGCTCGGAGAAGATCGACCAAAAGTCGAATCCAGAGCCTAGCGTCTCTGAGCCGAAGCCTCAGACCACGGCTCCCACGGTGACTACAACGACCGTTTCGACGACCACGTCGGTCGCCACGTCCACGACCACTACTACCACCACCACTACCACGTCGTCCAGGTTCACCACGTCCACTGTCACGTCGCCGACGTCCACCACCAAGCCTCCGCTGAGGAGAAGGCACACCACTGGGCCCGGTATGACCTTCCCGGCTACCGATCCGCCGACCTATTCGACCAGCATGACCTTCTCGAGAACCAGCCCTCTTCCTAGTCCGCATCTCGATAAAAGGTTCTTCGACAGCAGTTTGATAGAAATGAAGAGCCAGGCGAGTAGTTCTAGCACTCTTGATTATGACTCCACCGAGGAGGTCTGGGTACGCAGGGTAGATTTCGTGCAGGAAAGGAAGAGAAAGGTAAGTGGAATTGCTTCTCCTCGCTTATTACGTGTCCTTGGAATTTCAGTCGCTTCTTTTCTAGAGACCAACTTTGATTGGAGAAGTAATGCTACGTGTGCTGGTCGTGTGTGCATTAGGTTGCTGAGATACTAGCATCGTTTTGGAGGAAGAGAAGGGTAGGAAAAGGAAAGAGAGGTTGGACAAGGCTTACAGGAGACAAGCTTACAAGTCCTTCGGGTCATAGATTTAATTGAAACTTCGCAGGTTTGTAGATTTAGTCATCCAGTTCAAGAAAATGCATCATTATAACAGCAACTACTCGATGGTTTTCGAGATACTTATTATTAGAGTTTTATTATTGCTTTAATTATGTATGTATTTCGAATATTCATCAAATGCCACTTGATAGCTAGCGATAACTATTGGAAGAAATCTCTAGTTAAGAATAATAAAGTTTTAATTATAAATATATCAGACTATCGAGTACATTTTCATGACCTGGATGACTACATTTACAATCCTGCAAAGTTTCAACTACATCTATGACCCAAAGGACTTGTACTCTCCTTGTTACTAGATTTTAGGTTAGGCCTCTGGTGTATGCGGTTTGGACGTATGTGGACGCATGTGAGAGAAGAGTCTGCTTGGGAACGACTGACGAGGAGAATGCAAGTCCTTCGGATCATAGATTTAGTTGAAACATTGTAAATTTGTAGATTAAGTCATCCAGTTTAAGAAAATGTACCATTATAAGGGCAACAGCTCAATAGTTTTCAAGATATTTATGATTAGAGTTTTATTATTGCCTTAATATTTATCAAGTACCGTTGTGGCCTAATGGCGATATTTAAAAATTCCCACACTGATGGCAATTTTCAAATGTTACCGTTAGGTTACAATGCCACTTGATAACTATCCATAACTATTAAAATAAATCTCTAGTTAAGAATAATAAAGCTTTAATCATAAATATCTCAAAGACTATCGAGTAAGTTTTCTTGAACTGGATGACTAAATCTACAAACCTGCAAAGTTTTAACTAAATCTATGACCCAAACTTGCACTCTCCTTGTTACTAGATTTTAGGTTAGGTCTCTGGTGTATACGGTTTGGACATACGTGGACGCATGTGAGAGAAGAGTCTCTTTGGGAAAGACTGAGTGAAAAATTGGACAACTTTGTGGATGATACTCGCAATACCCTGGATTGTTAATTTTATTGCAGAATAATAGAAATAAGGTTAAAATTTTAGTCAGTTTTGAGATATCTCACGGTGAAGATTGTTTTATCTGTTCAGCGTTAGATTAGATAATGTCTAGTAGATAACTATGTAATAGAAAGATACGTGTGAGAAAAGAAGCATATAACAAAAGACTGTTTAGTAGATAAATGTATAATAAAAAGGTGCTCAGATAAGCTGTACAAGAGGTTTTACATACCTCTTGTATAGCTTCTTCGCGAGGAATTAGAGGCACAAGAAACACGCTAATAACAAGATTTCTTTTTTCTTCTAATTTCACATAGTTTCATAATTTCTGCGAATTATAAAATCGAATTATATATCGATAAATCGATTACACGATCTCACGCGTCTGTACTTCGATCATTTTTCTCGATGCTTGGTGAGTTCGTGACTCGAGAAATACGATTTCCGAAGCGTACCCTTCTATGCGCGCAAGATGAGAGGTCTGCAACGTCTAATTGCGGTAATTGACTAATTGCTGTGAGGAGGAGCGGTCTTGCAAATTTGTTTACCGCGTTCGCGACTTGAACCGTTGCGAAAGTGTAGAGCGGCTCGAGGATATCGCGGGAGACGTCGGAAATTGAAGATACAGTTTCAGATTGCGACACGATTGTTCGCGTGTTTTCTCGAACAATGGGCAGAAAACATCTTTCTATGTATAAAAATAGCCGGTTGAATTTCTGCCTACGAGTCGATGATGCTGTTCAGTTGAAGTTCCTGCGCTTGGACAGGAAGCGGTCAATGGCGATAATGGCGTTCGTTTCCGTTGGAAATGGAGAAAAGGCATTGCTCGTTTTGCGAAAGTATGTTAGCTCGTTGCTTTTTATTCTGCTTGGAAAAGAAAGATGAAAGAAAATATGAAGTTATTGGCGGATGAAAATAGATGTTGACTGGCAGAGTGACGGGTTAAAGTGTCGTTCACAAGTTGCAAGGTGTGGTCGTTAGATATGATCGCTGAAGGAACTATAGTCGTCAGAAGCGACCAATCAGGCTAGCATGCCATCATCGATTGGTTCTTCCGCTTCGCGCGTGATCTCATCAAGCAGTCTTCTTCTTTTTTCATTTTTTTAATGTTGAAAATGCGCTTTGAGTAGTCTTCAGTTGTTATTATCTGTTAGATATCGGATATTGGGTTAAATATCGATTTCAAAATATCGTAGGATTATTTTGTACGAGTGCAGAGAATATTTTGAAAGTTTGGCAAATGATGAGATTCGTTAAGGCAGTCGTTATATAAAATAATATTATCAGATGTAGGAATTTCTTCCTAGTTTGTTTAGATAGATATTCTAGGGTTTTATTTTATTGGTAATCGATTTGAGAAAGTGATCGTTACAGAAGTTTGTTACTTTAATGCTAGTTTATTAAATTATTTGTAATTTATTAACCTAGTTTTACTTTACTACTTTCTTACTAGTTACTTCCTAGATTAAACTAGTTTGTTACTAGATCATTGCTAGTACATTTATTAATAATAAATGTATTTCTCCATTGAAATAAATTTAGTATAAATATATAGTTTATATATAGTTTAGTATAAACCTAGAAGCTAAATTTGGATATCTAACTATATAATAAATTTACCTTCAGTCGTGAATTTTTTCAAGGTACAATTTAATACCGGAAATTCGAAAATCGATGGGATTAAACTAGCTTTTAAACTCACGACGTTTCGATATTTATTTTCCTCTACAATATTGACGGAAATTCTCGTTTCAATTACGGTGGAGTTAATAAAAATTCGGATTTTAATAGAAAGCCAAACGTAAAGCTTGACGTATAATTTTATTTCCCTAGATTTTAGTAATATTTTTCGCGGACGATAAAATCCGGTTTTTTAAAAATAATTTATGCTCAGAATACGGAACCTGTGAATCGTGTGCGACAGCTTCCGTAAATAACGCGAGTAACGAACGATCTCGAACGTAAACACGTTGTTTTGCATGGTTTCAAAAAGAAAGATACGACCAACCGCCGCAAGAAACTTCAAGGGCCTTACCTTCTTTCTCTGGAAAGGGTAGATTACCTTGGTCACGAAGTATCAGACCTGCGAACACGGATCTCCTTAACAAAGTCTCCTCTCATTCTTGAAACAACAAAGGATACCTTTAAAACTTCCAGCTGTATTATATCTATTCAAATTTTTTGATTAATATTAATAAATTTTCGGATTCAGTACATAGAAATATTCGAAATTTCATATTTACTATAGATACGTTAATCATTAACGTTTTATTACGATAGAATGTACGTAGTTTAGTAATATTCTTATTTGGTAATATTTTGGTAATATTTTAGTTATATTTTCATCTAGTAATATTTTTTCTTGAATGAAACAAAATTATAAGAGAAGCACTGGTTTAAGTAATTTGATATGTTATCTTCTTGTAGTCCATTTTATTTTTCACGTCGTTTACAAGGTCATACGTGTTAATCCGAGACAGTAGAATAAAATTGGTTATGCGATGAATATAAAACTGTATTGAATATTGGTAATCAAATTAAAATATAAATAAAAGATGTGTGTTTTGGTCGTTACATGTATCGTGTAGAATTCGTATAATACGATATAAAAATGTTACGCATTTTACTAAATTACTAAATTAAAACTTTCAAACGCATAATCCTTTTATTTTGAGCAATGTCTACAGTGGATAGCAATGATAAAGTTAATAACGAAGAGGAATAATATTTTACCTTCAGTGCTATCGTACCGATAGATTAACCTCGTTAATCCTTGCGTGACGTTCTGATCAATCGCCAACACCTATTAATGAAAATATCGATGGAATTACTAGCATGAAATCTTAGAAAAGAATATAAAGATGTTCGAGGTTTGCGTTCTTAAATTCGCGATATCGTTTGGCATAGATCTCGATATGTGACTTTAATGTTTCATGGAAGAGGATAGTGGTGGGGGGCGTAGGTACAAGGCTTCCTTTAAGCTCTATCGATTCGGTCGAAAGACGAATTACAATGCGTTGAGGGCTGTTATGACGGATACCTCGACACGTAAGGTCTCCTTTACGAATGCTTCCCGTACGTGAACTGCTCACTCAATTAGTAACTCGTAAAGATTAGGTCAGTAAATAAATCGTACGAAAGAAGATTCGTAATGAAGATAGGCTAATACGTATCGATCGGTAATGCTAATTGGATAACTCTGGAAAAATATGATGTTAGATATTCACGACCTTAAATGCATGGTTTCGTATCGTTCGATGATTCGTTGAATACGACTAGCGAAATTAAGCGAAGCAAACGTGCTTTATTTGTTGTTTGCGATATTTCACTCTTTGTTGCGTAACATGGCCGTCTGACGACTCATATGCCCGTTTTAGAGTACAAAGAATTTTACACGTGCTTCGTGTTCGCTACAGGCATTCGAACTGAGTAATTGCATTCCCTGTGCGGTTAATCTATTTTAATCTTGACATTTCCATGCTACTTTCGTTTAAATAATCGTTAAACTGACATTTCTCATGATAATTAAAGGTATTTAACGTTTCTGATTTTTTCCTTGACGTGTAGGAAAGTGTGATGTTCGTTTTTATCATCGAACGTTAATTCCTCGAAGTAGTGCAGCGCGCGATGTTGTTTGCGTTCGTTGATAGATGGCGACATGATACATCGAAGATCAGCCGCCATCTTTGTGAAATTATTCGGAATGAAACCTAATTGAACGTTCAAAACGGATATCGTGATATACAGTGGAATTTGTTAACGCCGCAAATAAAGTGATTTATTTCTTTGTTTTGACTTCTCGTTGCACTTAAATGGTAACACGTTACACATAGTTCTTAGAGGTATTTTTAAATAGAAATCTATAAACATAGAAACAGTGACAGTGTTTACAATAACCTGTTATTTGGAACGTTCTTTCGTGCTTGGTTATTGTGCTTGTTTGTAT